TGGTGTCTTTTCTCTCAACTGACAGGCCTTAACTACAAGTTACTCCCAGCTCTTAGCTCACCTGGTTAATAAATATGGTGAATAGCTGACTGGTCTGAACCAGCCTGCCTTAGGAACAGTTTTGCCAGCCACTTCCTCCCCTTAGCAGGAACACTGGAGTCCAGTCAGAGAACTTTAGTCAATTAACTAGGGAAGTTTCAGAGTAACCCCCTCCCCTTTTTTTTAAGGTTCTTCATCTTTGGGGGGGGATAGAAAACAGATTTGTTGAAAGCATTTTAGAAAAATAAACCTTTTTAAAATATATATTTCTTGAATGTGACCTGGCTGAAAAAAGATTGTAAGAAGCCGAGGTCTTCTATCAGTATTTTGGGAGACATTTAAATATGATCATTACATTGAAGGCATTTTAAAAAAACTGCTTGCATGAGATTTTTTTTTTTCTGGACATTTTAGTCCCGCCCCCCCCAAGAGGAAGCATTTGTTTTATTGAAGGTTCACACTTTCAAATTACGTGAGCTAGGCCTTTGAAACTATACTACAGTAAAACAAATGCTGTAGAGATTTGTGCTTGGGATTTTCGATTTTACATCTTCCAACAGGATACAATCAACAAATTGGAAAATGAATTGAGAACCACGAAGAGTGAAATGGCCCGGTACCTAAAGGAATACCAAGATCTCCTCAACGTGAAGATGGCCCTGGATATTGAGATCGCAGCTTACAGGTAAAATCACGGGTGTGGGTGCAGGGAGCAGCCATCAAACCTCAGAAGAAAAATCAGGGGAACTCAATGGGAAATTATATCCAATCAGAAATGTTCTAGAATAGTACTAGTTTTGGAATTCTTCAAAAAGAAGCTATTTGGGCCAATGCATAAGAATTTAACTGCAGAGATGTGAGCCCTGCTCTTAGCCTCCCATTACATTTAACATCTAATAAGGAGAATAGAGGTTGCTTGGGGGCGGGAGAGGGCGTTGCTCATAAAAATCTCCATTATCTTAGCAATGCCTTGGCCTGCTTATGCTTATTTACTTTTAAAGCTGGCATTAGGGAGAAGCAATGAATGGGGGGCTTAGGGCAAGTCATTGGACATACTTCCAGTGTTGGTCTAACTGTACTGTTCACGTGCCTCCCCAGGAAACTCTTGGAAGGTGAGGAGACCCGGCTCAGCTTTACCAGCGTGGGCAGCATAACCAGTGGCTACTCCCAGAGCTCCCAGGTGTTTGGCCGATCTGCCTACAGTGGCCTGCAGAGCAGCTCCTACCTGATGTCTGCCCGCTCCTTCCCTGCTTACTACACTAGCCATGTCCAGGAAGAGCAGATCGAGGTGGAGGAGACCATTGAGGCTGCCAAAGTGGAGGAGGCCAAGGACGAGCCCCCCTCTGAAGGGGAGGCAGAAGAGGAAGAGAAGGAGAAAGAGGAGGGGGAGGAAGAAGAGGGAGCTGAGGAGGAAGAAGGTATGCTAAACAGAAGTCCTCAGGACAAATGCAAACTGGGTGTGGCTATTTGCTAGGAGATGGTTGAGGCACATGCAGGCTTGCTTATCTAGGGAACTCTTTATGGGGTTTGCAACCGTAAATAATATGTATGTGTTTAGTGCACACACGTTTAGTAAGCACCTGTTATGAGTGAAGTCAGAATTGCATTTTGGCTATATTTTATTTTTAATTGACATAATGATTATGGAAATTTATATTTTAATATATTCATTTAATACAGCAGTCTTAAAGGACAGTTACCCTAAAGACTAATCATGAGTGCCAAACATAAAAATATTGAGGCCAGGTCTTGGAGAGGAGCAAAGTTTCCACTACCCGGAAGTAACCTCATTCTATTTAAATATGTGCTTCCTAGCAAATTGTTGATGACAAGAGCTGTTTGCAACATGTCTTTGAAGAGAGTGCAGCCGAGAGGTTTTTGGTAAGCCCTCTAGCAATAACCTCACAAAACTCTCAGCCTTGGATTTGAATTTTGTCATTTTTCTTTTCTGTTCAAGCTGCCAAGGATGAATCTGAAGATGCAAAAGAAGAGGAAGGAGGTGGAGGCGAAGATGGAGAGGAAACCAAAGAATCTGAAGAGGACGAGAAGAAAGATGAAGGTGCTGGGGAGGAACAAGCGACTAAGAAGAAAGATTGAGCTCCCATGTCTTTAATTATTCCAGGAATCCCCCCCCCCCCTCCCAGATAAGGTCAACCTCATCACCAACCAACCAGTTGAGTTCCAGATCCTACATGAATTAAGAAGTCAATATATGTATAATTCTGAGGTGACTTAGGTTGGACATTCAATGTTGTGCTATGAATTTTCTCCTTATGCAGAGTATCCGTTTGCTTGCACAGTGGCTTCCTGGCTGCTGCCAACCTATGCATGGTCCATGCTTATGAGTTCAGGATCTATGGCAATGTGAATCAGCCAGATGTTTACACTAAAACACACACACGACACAAATAAGTGAATTCACTGATGCTCATGTTCAACTTCATGAAAAATAGTCTTTTGAATCTGTGGTGGTTAGAAATTAAAGACCTCGAGTTATGTGCAATAAATAGTAAATAAAGTTACACTGAATGATATATCTTGCTGTGGTTTTTGACTTAATTAAAATGCTTTAAAGAGGGCACCAACATAAACCAATTCAAGTGGACTATTGACCTCAATTTTTTATAAATTAAAAATTTAGCAAGTACAGTACTTTAGTTTTTGCTTAATTGGAAATTCTGAGGGCTATAAGAAGGCCATGCCTAGAAAATTTTTCCCCCAAAACTTTACTGATAACAAACATGAATGAGACTGTTTATAGATAACAATATATTCTACCTTATAAAACATACTCTGCTAAGTGGAGGGATGGCTCTCTAGAAGATAATTTTGAAATTACGTATGAAATTACAGTATGCATTAATACATTCTGGGTAGAATAGGATCCCACATGGCCATCATTATGGTTACATTTTTAATGTAGCCTAAATATGGGCAGAAGTTGAAGCCCACGATACAATTAGGAATAAAATTTTATCAATAGGTAGTTTTGGATGGAAAAACGTAAGAGTCCCGGGGGTTACCTGCTCATCCCTGTAAGCACGTTGCCTGAAATCCTGAGCTCATAATTCAGTGTTGTTTGCTTAATTCTATTGCTTCACGTATGTTGCATTTGATGCTACACATTTTGAAGCCTATTGAAAAAAACCACAGAGGCAGGTAATAGAATTATAATATCAGTCGCTTAGTGGGGAGATAATATATTTGTTTGTTACATTGGCATTGCTCTGCATGTCTTAATCGGTAAGTCGTTGGAGTTCAGTAACTGGTTGACCATTGCATCACATATAAACCTCACCCGCCCGTGCCCGCTGTGAAGCTGTGAACGCTCTTGCACTTGTGTTTGGTGTGGAAAACAGATGAAGTTATTGACCATCTACTGCTTTGCTGTTCCTAAACAACTATTTAGTCTGCTGATTTTGTTCAGTGTTTGTTTTTTTAGATGGCCTTTGAAATTTAGGAATTTTACCTAAAACCAAAGTGGTCTCCATTAAACGTTAGTCCCTTCGCACTACCCATTACTAGTTAAATATATGTTACTACACAAATAGGTGAAATGTTTATCTACATGATATGGATTTGAGCTGTGAAGGCGCTCAGTATTCCTTTCTAGATAGAAAACTCCTTGGATAATGATCTTTTCACACTTCTGCTCAGCAGTTATGAGTCAATGCACGTGGTCAGTCTTAGGCAGATACGCTCAGTATTCCTTTCTAGATAGAAAACTCCTTGGATAATGATCTTTTCACCCTTCTGCTCAGCAGTTATGAGTCAATGCACGTGGTCAGTCTTAGGCAGATGCCAACAACATGTAAAATGTCATTTGCCAAACACAAAACAACTGGTTGGTTTAAGAAATGGTTGAAGAACACAGTTCCATATTCAATCTTGTGTGCCATAATAAAATACTGAAAAAGCTAAATTAAATGAGTTTGAAGTCTTTTGAAAAAGCTCTCCAGATTGACAGGCTAACCACTGCCTTTTCCCTCTGGTCCACATAAGTGCCAGCTCTCCTTTCCTTCCCTTTCTCAATGTCTCCTCCTCCCATCATCCAGATCTGCAAACCAGACACTTCGTGACATCATACCCCCCGTTTCTCATCTCCACCCTGAAGTCAGATCTATTGAAGACTGGACTCCATGCACATCTCTCCATGCCACCACCCTGCCACCACCTTACACACTCTCCTACTACATACTGGAGCCCCACCACCATCAGCATCTTATAGTGAGCTAACCTTTGGAAAAGCCAAGTTTAATCCCCTGACTAAAGCCTCTAATAGCTTTCTATTTAGTTGACTATAAAGCTCAGAATTTCTGATGTCATCTACATGGCATGCAGAGATCTCACCCTTAGCAATTTTCCTCCCCTCATCCAACATACATTTCCCTGTCCCTCATTTGGGTGCTCCAGCCAAAAGTTCCCACCCTCAACCTTGCCATACCTGCTCCTTCTCACATAAGGCTTAAGTGTCATCCCTTTAAGAATCCTCCCTGACGTCTTCAAGTTCAAGTTCTTCTATTAAATGCACCTATAAAAACACTGTGGACATACTTGCCCTTGATATCTATTTTGTGACCATTGGATGACTGTGCATCCTACCTACTCCAACTTTTTTTCATCTTTTCAAATATTTATGTGATCATATTAATTCTTATGTTTAATTACATGTGTCGGTATGGCAGGATCCAAGCCTTAAAATAGCTGAAATTGAAACTCATCCTCAAGGATCATCAGCTTTGCAGATGCTGTTCCTAGGCTGTTCTGCTTGCACGGCTCCCGGTTCTTAGGTTCCATCAGCCTCCCGCTGGTCCTTGTCTTTTCTTCCTTGTGGCCGTCATCCTTTCTTTCATCCTCTCCTTCCTCCTCCTAGTCTTCATTCTTTCCTGTAGTATTGTAGACTATTTCGAATGTTCTTTTTTGAAGGAGAAGAGAGTGAAGACGAGATAAATAAATGATTTCCTTTCATTCAAAAATTCCCAACACAGTGTCTTGGGTTAAATGGATATTGTAATGAATATTTCTGGAGGGTAAAGCCTTTATATATATTTATATATTTGACAGGTTCTCCCTAGTCTCACTCAGCCTAGAACTCACTACATGGACCAGGCTGGTCTGGATCTCACAGAGATCTGCCTGCCTCTGCCTCCCAAGGGTTGGGATTAAAGGTGTGTACCACTACACCTGGCATAAACACCTTAATATTTTTGAGAATTTATGGACACGATAGAGAATTTCTCCTTTATCCTTTCTGCCATAATTCATTTACAAGCTGTTCTCCATGGAAAATTCAAGATTCTTTTACTTTTAGGAAATAGCCGTGCAGAGTGGAGTATAGTGAATTATTCCAGCTATGTGGCAGGGCCTATTTTCATTTTAAAGCCTTCTAGAAAGTTCTCGTGAAGAGTATTAATGAGAACTGACGTGTCAAAGCACAACACACCACATGAATAAAGAAACCTTGGGCAGCCCTAGGTGGTAACTACCAATAATAGTTTCTACTAAACTTAATTTTTTACAAAAAAATCTGCATCTTTAATATATCAAGTAATTAGGAAAAATACTAGAATTTTATTCATGACAGGTATTTAAACAATATTTACAACTTCATGGACACATAAATCTACATTTTTACACAGAGGTTTTAGAAAAGAAAAATCACATGCACAAGTAAAACAATGTGTTAACACACAATAGAATTCCAAATTCATCTTGGGCCATAATTTTATAACTTTCTAAAGCCTTATTTTTGAAAATTATGAGGGAAATTTAATCCATTTTTTTAAAAAAAATATCCCACTCAAGTTGTGGTGTATATATAGTAAAATCAGATTGATGCTATGTTGACTTGGGGATTTTCAAGAGTAGCAAATATTTTAGAATCATGAAACATAACCTGTGCTGAAATTTCATGTTTATTTAAAATACAGAGTTTCATTGTTATTTGTGGAACACATCTGAGCAGTTTCAGACGGCTTCCCTTCAGACTTCAAACACTTCTGAGAGGACCTTGGCAAACACTTGCAAAGGACAACACGTTGAAAAGCAGAGCATCAATCTCACTTTTTCTCCTTTGTTTCTAAGTGACTTATTGTAAATTTTCTTTTGAAACATTTCTTCCAAATTGTCTAACTGTCCTTGAATTTCTTTTGTAGATTTAAAAAAAATTTAAAAAAATTTATTTTTTAATTTTATGTGTATGAGTGTATTGCCTGCATGTATGTGAGCGCACCTGTGTCATGCAATGCCGCAGAGGTCAGAAGAGGGCTTGGGATTCCCCTGGACCTGGAGTTAAGGACGGTTCATAGCTGCCATGTGGGTGCTGGGAATTGAACCCAGGTCCTCTATAAGAGCAGTCAGCCCCAGGTGTTTCTTTTATAGCCCACTGTTGGTCTGCTTGCTTGTAAAAACTTAGCATTTGAATTATCCTCTCGAATGCGTTTGGCAAATCCATGATTTTCTTCAGCAATTAACAGCATCTGACAGAACTTGTTAACTTCCACTTCCTCTTGGCAGTGGCAGTCAGAGCCATGTAGGATGGCAGGACACTTGATACAGGCAAAGAATCCTCAGCTGAGAATGAAGCTGTTTTTGTTGTCTGGTAGTCATTCCTGTTTGGGTAATAGTCTGTAGGCTCCTGATGTCTTCACATACAGTAAATGTAGAGTCCAAATCCTCCCGTTTAGATTTTGTTCTCCTGTTAAGAGAGTCTACTTCACACAACATTTTCAGAGAATTGTCATTGTTCATATTTGAGTTATTGGCCTGAAAACTTGCTGCATGTGATGAAGGTCTTATTAAGTCTGGAGATGGATTTTGGAAAGGCTTTCTGCAGTCCTCTGCAGTGTATGTAATAGGCTGAAGTTCTTTGCTTAGAGAATCATTGAGTTGCATACTTTCTGACAGTGTAGACTTCTGAGTACATTTTACTTTTAGGGGTGAATGCATTAATTTTCTCCAGATTCATTTTTGTGGAGAAATTTTAAACAAGTCAGGTTTACTTGAGGGTTTACAATAAGGAATTGGCTGAATTGGCCCAAGTTGTGGAAAGGTCATAAGAGCAGAACTTCCTGGGAGATCAGTTTTGTTTGGATATTCTGCAGTTTGATCCAGCCCAAACCATCACTTTCCCCCTCTCTACCAAATGTTCAGTTTCTTTGAAGTCAGAATCAAACGCAGCATTTGGCAGGCCAGCTTCTTTTAATATGCAATATTGTTTTCTTAGGGTTGGAAGTAAAGCATTCAATACTGCCCCAGTCTGCCTGCGTTGCTGACTTAAATTTTTTTGACTTACTTATATTTATTTTTTACATATATGAGTGTTTTGCCTACATGTATGCAAGTGTGCCACCTGTGTACAGTGGTGCTGTGGAGACCAGAAGGGGGATTGGATCCCTGAAACTGGAGTTATAGGTGGTTGTTAGCCACCATGTGGATGCTGGGAGCTGAACTTGGATCTTCTATAAGAGCAGCCAGTGCTCTTAACCGCTGAGCCATATCTCTAACCCTTCTACTAAACTTTTTTTTGGATATA